ACTGTAATTAATGTGAAATCAAAAGAAACAACATGTAGTTACTGCATATAGCTTGAGAAAACCCTATTGTATATGATTACTCATTTCCAGACATATGTACCGCAGCTTTTTCTTTTTTTGTAGAACTGCTTCTTGGCAAATCAATACACTGCAGTCGGAAATACTTGTTTTCTACCACTGAATTAATCAAACTTGCTTTTGCTGTGTTTATCACAAGCCGATAATTGTTGCAGATTAAGCACAGATTTCAGTTTAATGGAGTAGCACACAATGAAATGTGGGTAAATTTATTCATTTGGGCAGAAATCCATTTAGTTCACATATATTATGTCAGTCATAGTTGAGTGGGAGCCATAGTAGAAAGCCCCTACAGTTACTTTACTTTGCAGTACCGGGATGCATAATGGGAGCTGTTAGCATATAGATATATCTTGACAAAGTCTCAGTATAAACCTTTAGCACCATGATAGAAGGGTAGGCCTAAATGCCAATAAAAAACCTATCTTGTTTCTATATTTCTGTTTGGAAACAACATTATGCAGCCGTGTGCTCTTAGTGCATCCCTCTGTCTCAAGAGGACAGTCTCCAGTATTGCCCACAGCATTACTACTCATCCCCAAGAAGGAGATAACAGATAGTGATTAGTTCTGCTCCTAGTAATGAGCAGGAGAACTATTTTCTTTAACATTATGGGAATACAATTTTTTATTTTATTTAAGTAAGGTAGAAAAGAGTTATTATAAAGTAAGCAGTAGTTGTTATTGCTCTGTCAGTGCCATCTACTGGTTGAATTAACATAAAAGAAGGAAAAAAAGGTGTGTTTCGGCTACATGTTAACAGTCCAGATATATAGGACTACTTTGGTTGCTTGTTTCTAGTTGGGTCCCAAATACCATCTTGGACCTAATCTTTAGTTTTGTTATTACCTGCCTTGGTTTTATAGCTGAATTAGATCGCTACAAGTGTGAGAATCGGGTCCAAGGCTAAAAACTTGCAAAAGTACTTATCCCTGATAACTCGATGATTTGTCATTTTTCCTGTGGAGACCCAATTTTCTCAAAGAGGGAAAGCTAGAAAGGAAAAATACTTTAAAATGTCTCTGTGGCTTGCCATTATAGAACCAATTTTGGTGTAAAATGGAGCTGTCCTAACATGATATTATACTACACAATTTCTGAACCCCAAAGGTCTATTTGTATTAACTGAAAAAGAAAGAAAGAAAAAAACTTCAACTGCTCTCCACCCCCTCCTCACATCTCCCCTGCTGCTTCTCTCTTCTTCTGTTTTCACCCATCAGTTTTTCTCCCTTTTCTGCTCTTATCAGCTGCTAAAGATGCATCCTGGCACAAATGTAAGAAAGCTCATCTAAGGCTGGGAGAGAGAAGCAAGGCAAGAGTATGAAATAACACAAAATCCTTGTGAGCTCGTATTTGAGACAGACAGAGAAAAGAGATGGTAAGATAGTGAGGGAGTGTTAAACCGCAGAGTAGTGTGAGTGTGCCTTTGTGCCTGTGCAGGTGCAGACTGGATATATCATTGAGAACAGGTGCTGTGGTAGAATGTATGTCCCTCACAGCTGCAGCCAAGGAGATTACTAGCCCGGCTTCCTGGTAATGAAGTTTCTATCGATTGGCCCACCACAGGTTCTTGTTTCTGCCTGCTAACAGTGTGACTATTTCAAAGCCTCAGTTTGAGGTTTTTGAGTATATCATTAAGGTATAAAATTGAGTTTCCGGAAGGGTTCGATTTGTTGATGGAAAATAATCGCTTAGTAACTTTTTATACATCCATATCTCAAAAACTAAGTCAATTGTTGCCTCATTGGTTTTAGAGAAAATCAATTCTTGCTCTGGAAAAGGCTTTTTCATTCTGTTACTGCTGTGAAACAACACACATTTAGTCCGGATCCAACACATTATACAGCTGACATTGTTTATTAATACAATACAATGACGTGTATATTTGGGAGCAGTACACCACAGATGCCTTTTATTTTATTTTGACAAAATTTAAGCAAACAGGCTTTAGTGAGCATCTAATCAAATTTTGCCTCGCATAACAGTAATAATTTTAATTTCCTCAATAATCAGTGAGCGTGATTTTCAGGAGGCGCACAGAATAAAACAAAAATGGGAAATTGCAAAGAGAGATCGTAATACAGCTCAAAGCTGTTTGACTAATAGGGTAAGTTCCTGTAAATTTAATGCACGATGTTAAAACTGTAGAAATGGCTGATAC